GCCCGCGGAGCCGCCGGCGCGCGGCGCCGGGCGCAAGCGCCGCTTCGAGCCGCTGCTCGGGGACCTGGCGGCCGAGCGCGGCCGGCAGCTGGAGATGCTGCGCGGCATGAGCAGCAAGAAGCCGGCGCTGGACATCACGCGCACCGTCAACAAGCAGCTCCGCGAGGAGGACGCCGAGGCGGCCGCCAAGGGCAGGAAGCGGGCGCAGCGCGGGAAGCGCGGCCGGCGGCAGCAGCAGCGGCCTGGCCGCGGCGGCAAGAAGAGCAGCAGCGGTGGCAAGAAGAGCGGCGGCGGGAAGCGGCAGCAGCAGCGGCCTGCCCTTGGTGGCGGCGGCAGGAGGAGGAAGGCGTGAGGCGCCCCGGCGGGCTGTGGGACAGAGCAGCCTGCAAGGCCTATGGGGCCGGACGCGGCGCGGGACCGGGASCCACGTCGCCAGCTGACGGGTGGATGAGGACTGACAGTACCAGCGTCCTGCCCCACACCTGGCGCCCGCACCTCCTTGTCAATAAATACGCTCTGTTTTTTATAAAATCTGCTGCTTCTGGCTCTTCGATGGCAGTTGGGGGGCAGTGCCCCTCCTCAATTCTTGAGGAGAATTGCTGGTGTGTTGGGAGAGTCAGGCTCCCCCGTGCCCCCCAGGTCAGGGGCTGTCATGGGGGCAGCCACGTAGCTCCACAGCTGACCATGTTTGCAGCATTTTGAGACAGGTCTCAGTCCTGCAGAGCTGAGTTGCTTCATTCTCACCAAAGTTAATGTGTGAAACTCAGCACAGAGAGGGCAGGTCACATTTTAAGTGCCAGTGCAATCGATGGCAGACGCTGTGAAAAGAGAGGGCTGCTCCTTGTGCTCTGGGCTGTCCCAGCTGTGGGGCTCCTGTGCTGCGAGTCACCTTCTACCACTCAGTTCAGCGGCACTGGGATCCCTTGCGAGAGGAGGAGCCCCAACACCCTTCCTGGAAGGTTATGGCAGGGCCTGAAAGATTGCAGAGACTTTATAAAGCTCTGTTAGCGTTAGAAAGAGACAAAGCTGTTCACCTACCAGGGAATTCAACAGAATATCAAGCGATAGTAGAAAAGCTTCCCAAATTTATATCTGTACTCCTTGCTGGTAGTAAATCATTTTTATAAAAATAGTGTTTTTTTCTTTACGGAAGTATTGAAAAGCAGATACTGAGTGGAATCCAGTGATTTTTTTATAACTGTTTTGAAATTGCAGTGTTTCCTGTACCCTGGAAATGAAAATGAACTTTATGTCCTATTATGTGACTGAAGGCAATTCCCACTGTGAAGATAGTGAAAAACTTTCAGTAAACTTGTAACTGGTAGTCGCAGCATAATACTCTGTTGCAAATGCATTCCTGGAAGAGCTAAATACTTCTAAAGCAATGAATCTGCTATCTCCTTGTAAAAGCAGGCGCCGATGGCGACCTGAGTGCAGTCCAAAAGCTGCAGCTCCATCTGTGTGGACACCTGGCCAGGGCAGGAGCGAGCGCGCTCGCGCTGAGCGACTCTGAGTGGCATTAGCAGACTGAGGATAATGCTGAATTCCTATCAGCTTTCCTTAAAGTATGTGCTCTATGTCATCTAAATATTTCTTGCTTGTGTTGAGCAGTTTCTGCCACTGTTGGCTGCTTCTGCCTGGCCACTGGCAGCAGTGTCCACGTGGACGTGATCCTGCTGAAAGCTCCAGGGCAGCGGAGGCAAGAACTGCTTGGAAATGGGAAAGTTGTTTTGAAGTAGCTTCTAGACCTCCAGTTTTCCTGATGTTTCACAGAATCTCAGAATGGTTAAGGTTGGAAGGGACCTCTAGAGATCATCTCGTCCAAGTTTCCGTCAGATAYTTCTTGTTACCTGCTCAGCTAGGAAACAGTGCTATTTTTTTATGGGGAAGTATTTCATGATGCTGGCCCAGATTCCACTGGTGACCTCCCCAAAGCTAAGGACTCGTCTACAGAAGTGCTGGCAGTGTGTGGATTTYCAGGAGTGAGCATAAAATCAGTAGGGAGAGATGTAACCTGCTTCAGGTACTCCCAGTTTCTGAAATGCTTAAGTAATTTCAGACCTGAAAACCTGAAGAGATGAAGCTTTTAAAACTGTTCCTACAAGCTGCGTAATCACAGAGTTCACCGTGTCAGTGCAGGGAGCCGAGCTTTGCTGGAAGCGGAGCACGGAGCGGGGTGCTGAGCAGCCCGTTCTCACAGACTCTTCTCCCTGCTCGGGGCTCTGCACGCGGTTTCACTGCGCCCCAGCCCAGCTGCTCCCCTGCAAGCCGGAGCGGGTTGGATTTCCTAGGCCGAGCTCTCACTCGGGGAGCCGCGGCCAGGCCGGCTCTGAGCGGCGCTCAGTGCCTGGCCGGCAGGTTCTCCCCCGAGCTGCCCCACGGGGCAGCCGGAGCGGGTTGGGTTTCCCAGGCCGAGCTCTTGCTCGGGGAGCCGCGGCCAGACCGGCCCCGAGCACCGTTCAGTGCCTGGCCGGCGGGTTCTCCCCCGAGCTGCCCCGCGGGGCGGCCGGAGCGGGTTGGGTTTCCCAGGCCGAGCTCTCGGGGAGC